GCATGCGATTCGGTGCTCAACCTGGGTCACTTTGCATCCTGTATCTAACTTCAATATTGTGGATCAGTTTGTCCCTTCACTCCCGAGCAACGGTGCTCATCGTTTATTCTTTCATCAGGTAGAAGCGATCTAGTTGTCAGAATATGGTGCCCGGTGTCAAATAGCGAACGAAGAATCTGCACCGTAATGAATATAATTAGCCACTCAGGTTTTCTCTACGCCCGCGTGCGCACACATACAGGGTATACAGATGGCACAGTCCCTCCCCCCTCCCAAACTGCCTTGCGTGGTGTCCTAATCAATTGGTACTTCCGGTGCCTTTTGTAACCAAATTGCTCTAATCGGAGTTTTTCTACACGTTACGTTTAATCTCGCCTCATCTGTTTACTCTTTTCTCTTTTGTGACAAGAGAGAAAAACAAACCGTTACTTCATCGGGCTCGAAGTCCAGTATTCTTGTGCCTATGCTTATTATTGTTGTTGCACTCCGGCCGTTTCTTTTCAATCTTTCCCTTTGACGAATTGGCCACCACGTTGTACTCGTGTGTGTGTGTGTGTGTTTACGTAAAATCCAGATAGCCCTGGATGTTGGATCACAAACAACCCGGGGAAGTAGAATGGCCGTTCGTAACGAGTGGGATCACTGAGTATGTGTGTGCATCTGTGATCAAATTTTTTAGATCAGCTGTTGCTTCATGATGCCATAGATTTCCGATTAACTCAGCAAACCTTAAATCGAGACAAGATAGCAACTGATGAAGTCTGAAATCTGCCTACCGGTCTGGTTTACTTTCGCTATGATCAAACTGCAGATTACGGCTTCTGTATGAATATTGTAAACTTAGCCGTAGAGGAGTTTACTTTCTACTTACAGAATGACGGCGTTATCTATTGCATGATTGATCGTTCACGGTTAATATGCCATGACGATGCCCTATAATAACTGTACTGTGGCGCACATATACATGGGGCTGTGTGATGAACCACTTTGATATTGATGTTTGATAGATTGGCGTTCTCCACCACCACTTGCTGATCATTTCAAAGCATCACGCGAGTCTCAACATCGAGCACCAGGGTCCAAATTGTCAGTTCCAATAATCTCGCACTAGTTCCTTAAATCGCTATGCTAGCTGAGCAGTTAGAACAAACCCCACCCGAAAAAATCTATCGTCACGGCGAAATCATCATCTGCGTGCGTAAGTCTGCACAGAGACCAGAAAATCTGATGGTCGCAACGCATTTCAGGGGTGAAACATGTAATCGCAAGTGAAAATTCCCGTACGCTGTTCCATCTCATCCGGTTCACCGCTAGAAAAGCTCTGGGTGTGAGCGAAACGATCTGTGAAATTGACAGCTCACCCATTCGCAACCAAGCTCGACTTCTACACTGGTCGGAACACGTGGAGGCAAAGCTTATCCGGCCACCTGTTGTAACTTTGCGATACGACTGAACTAGCGCGAATCACGACCAACGATACGTGCGGCAGCAGACACCCAATAATCAAACCATACAACCCAGCAGGATAATGACGGTACCCTGGTGCGCCTGAATGCGGTACCCCCAAACGAGCCCCAACCGAACGGTGACGAAACGCCCCCACGAATCAGTACGATCCCCGAAATCCGATCAGAGAGAACACGGAAAACAGACCCTTCGGGTGGGACTGTATATTTCGCTCGACTGTGTAAAGCGAAGAAAGCAGACAGCTCATTTGTTTAAATGCAGTTCGGGGGCCGGCCATCAATGAATAACTCGAAAGTAGTGAGTCACGGGGAAATGGACCAATGGGGATCAAGCATGACAGGTGGTTTTGTATGAGCCCTTTTTGGCGGGAAATTCAAATTTTATAAAAATAAATGGAAAAACAGGGAAAATAGTCACTGTTCTAGGAAAAAATAGTCTTTTCCCTATCATCATCATCGCCCGCTTCTTCCACAGCTATTCCTGCAAATGTGCCCAGCCATATGTAAAAATGATGGAATAAAGCGTGTCGGGGTAAATGTTAGCTCTGTTCTCGTAATTCTGGAACTCTGAGCATTCCCCGTCCCGGGATCAATCGATTGTTGTCCTCATCTTTACGAACGATGGGAGCAGTGACTGCACCAACCATAGTGGTATGAGTCTGATCCCAATAGCTTCAAAGCTTTTGGTGTCCATCATTCTTCGCAGATAATACAATATACGAGAAGGGCAGTTCCACGAGGAACACGTTGGGTTTGCCCCCCGGTCGTGGATATACCGGTCAATTTTTCAACCTCCGGCAGTTGCTAGAGCATTGTCATGCTCCAGATAAGTATGTATCCATCCCGAAAGAGTTTTGTTGTCATACATCAGGTTGAGTTAGGGTTTATGACCAGCTTTCGTCACCCTCTGTCGTACTCCACTCTGTGTTGGATACTGATAGTTGTTCTTTAAAAGATATAATCGCTTGAAATCACACCCGATGGCTCAATCAGCTTTTGTTGTATGCCTGCCTATCGTCTACTTCTCCATTCTCTCGTTGCACATGCTGTCGTTGGTTAGAAACGCTGAATAGAAATCCGCAGCGCAAATGCTGTAAAATGCTGGTAAAATTTTGTACCCTATAAAAATGTAAGTCCAACACACATGAAATCTCAAAAGTGTACGGTAAAATAAACGGACAAAAGTTATTGTTCTACTTCTGTTCTCTGGAGATTGTTTTTTTACACGTTCTCTTTTGTGTCCGACAAATTCCCTTTTGCAATGATTATGATTACATCACTTTTATGCAGGACATATAGTTTCTACCATATATTACGTCACTTCGTCCCGCTCTCCTGTCTTAGCTCACAACCTTTATTTTGATCTACCCAACTCTCTAACGTTGTCCATTTGACCTTTGTCTCCTCATTCCCACAACGACTATCATTGCAGCCTTGTCATATTCGTTTGCTCTGTTTGCTCACCTCTGCCATCGTCACTAACTGAGCTTTAATCGGCCAATCAAACATCTGTACTAAACTCACCTGATGTATGTAGACGCCTGATGCGATATATATATATATATATCGAAAAGAAATTTCTTCGCAAACACCGTTTCCCAGATTATGATTTTGTTACATTGGCTGTTTTGAGACACAAACACACACACACACATATGTATATATATCATATTGTTGTGAGAAATGCTTCCCTTTTTTGGCACCTTATACGAAATGAGCTGTACTAAATCCATCCTTTCTCATATCTTTCTCTCCTCCCTACCTCCTGTTTTCTTTTCGCCTCTCCGCGCACGCAGAACGCTGGTTTGTCGACGTGACTTGTTTCTTTTTCTTCAATCTATTTGCCATGCTTGGTTGCATCATGTGCAACTGGATTCAATTTGTAAGTGAACATATGATTCAGAAGTCTTGTTCTGTTTGTTTGTTTGTTTGTCTGTCTGTCTGTCTGTTCGTTTTCTTTTTCATCAAGTAGTCATAGTGCATATCTAGCTCGCCTTGCTTCTTTGTACTTTTTCTGGCTCCTCATATTCAACGTTGAATTCCAATTCCTCGCATTCAGTCCCTGTCTAAGGGCTAAACGGTGAATGCAGTCCAGATTGGCTACTACAACAGTGTACACGATTGAAAAACGTGAACAGGATTTGAATCTTGATAACCCGAGGTGTTTCATGCGATCAAAAAACACCGGTGCATTTGAATACCGTGGTGAAAACCCGAAAACTGTGTGAAAGGGATATTTTCAATGGAGAGGGTAATGGGTGGACGATTTTCGATGGGGAGGTGTCGGTTGAGAACACTGTTCTCTCCCCGCGTTTCATGCACGCTATCTTATTGTTTGAATAAACACCCAGTTATTAGGTATTTAGCTATTTTTTTTTTGCGAGGAGACTCAAATTGTCATGTTAGAAATATGAATCCATTAAGGTGCAAGATTTTGCTATCAGGCAGCTTGAAATGACTTTTTCCGGTGACCCTACTTCTTGACGCTGTTTAACTGCGCTTTATCTCACATTCAACAAATCGATTGACTAAATTTCAAACGAGAACAATTGGGTATTCTGATAGGGGGAGGTGGGTGAGACTAGGAACAGGTTACTCGCATTTATTTCGAAGTTAGCAAAATGAAGGGTACATTGAATCAGTGGGTTAGTTCCATCAACTGACCACTAGTATTTCAGTCGCAATTTAACAATAGTTTGGTTATTCATTATTAGTAGATCTGCATTCTGATCGACAGTGAGTACTACAATCATAATGTAAACGAGTGTACACACGCACAAAGCCCCCTCTCCTCAGAACAGCGATAGGCGCCGATTGTATGACGCACGTTCAAAAAAAACAGGTTTGTTGACTAAATTAGCTCATATAAGCCGTCAGTGAGGTTGTTTGGACATTATTTAAACGAACTTTTCATGAATTAGTAGCGAGTTTTGTACTTGTGAAACTCATGTTTACGTGTTATCTTCTGGACCAATGTGACAGAGAAAATGATCGGGAAGAAATGATTTTGACTAAACGAATACTGGGTATGTTAATCTCACTCTGTTCATATGCATCCCTACTGATACACAGAGAATAGAAACTGAAGACTTCTGTTGGCAGAAACCACTGGAGTGAGTTCGAATCAATTCCGTGCCACAAAAACCCTACTGTGCAGCTTAACTGAATGAAAAAGTACGTGGTGAATGATGAGGGGTCACCCTCAATATCACAGATGACGAAATCTCCAACATTTTGGGGGAACTTAGTGGTGATGCACTTAGGATCGTGGCAGATTTTCAAAATTAAATTGAAATTTACCGGATATGAATTATCTTTTCTTGTGTTCACTGTCTGTGCTGAGAATACGTTGACTTTTAATCGTGAATGGTAAAAACCGAAGTATTGTGGCAATAATCGAGGTACACTGAGAGACTTATTCGATTTGATCTCCTGGATTCAACACGGTTCACAGAAGTCCACTCTAACAAGAGTCTTCAGGGGCCCCTAGACATGACCGTCAGCAGTGGAAAATGAATCTAACGCAGACCTGTCATGTTCAGCCATTCGGGATACGTTTTTGTGTTTTGCTTCCTGACGTGTTGGCTATTGATCCGCCCCGACCCCATGCATGCAACAAGATTAGCGGAATAGGATAGCACTATATAATGGGTAAGTGGCAAATTATAAAATCTAGCTGTGCATTAGATTTAAAATGTCAGCATTTATGGTATGAACTGGAATATTCATTGCCCCCGGAAATCTACTACCTGTCAGTTTTCCTGCCGGGTCCGAATTCATATTTTTCTGCACTCCTCATGGTTCTGTTCCCGTAGATACAACATCCAGTTCGCACGGAATGCATTTCTTGTTGTAGAAGATGAACTGCAAAGTTTGTACCACAAGATCCAGGAGACTGAACGTGGCTCTTTAGCGTGTGCGCTCGCGTCGATCGACAGTGTTCACAATTCGAATTTGTGAGTGTGTGTTTGGTTCTCCGGTGTGAGACTAATGAAATTCGTTGATAAGCTTGTGAAAATGTTCGATAAATGGGTCTATCAACAGATCGCTTGGAAAGACAAAATAAATAGCAGTAGTTTAGGTTGTGAATCTGTAGTGCTCTCAAATGAACGGAAAAAAATGCGTCACCTGGTTCACTTCTATGTGTTTTTGTAATCTCTGTTACGCTCATTAGACAAAAAAAAAGAATTTCTTGAAAAATATCCGTTTTCTTTCTCCCCTCCCGCAGCCTCAGCCCAAATTCCTTTGGATTCCCGTCTGGATTCGAACCTGTTTTTTCATTCCGTTCTTCCTATTTTGCAACTTCGATCTTCCTGATCCAAAATTACCGGTGCTGATTGGGAACGATCATGTCTACTTGTTCGGAGCCGTTGTTTTCGCCTTCACCAACGGGTATTTCTCCTCATTGGGAATGATGTATGCACCAAGGTGTGTTTTTGATGTCTGTAATCTATCAATCCTGTTCGCATTCTCATGAACTATAGTAACTCATTAGCCCACATCCGACACAAACTCCATAAAAAAACAGAATCTGAATCTTTCCTTTTTTGGAACTATTTCAATCGTATTGACGATGTGATATTGGCCGATGAAGAAACGCCTACGATCCACTTACCGAGCCTTGAGGCGTCAAGCTAATCGGAACTACAAAGACAATAAATATCGCTAGCAAAACTGTT